TTACCTGTAAAGAAAAGAAAAATAAAAAATAAAAATTAATTAATGTAAGAACATTTGTACATTAGACAATTATTTATTTCAAATAATTAAAAATAGAAAAATAATTATTTTTAAAATACTTCATGTTTGAATTAAAGGCATAGAATAGTATATAAGTCTAAGGGTAATATGCAAAGTATTCTGGCTCATGACAATAACAAATGAAGAACTCTGGATAATTACAGAACAGAAACCAATATAAATAACAATAAAACAAAGAAAACACAGATGGTTAGCTCACACTCTGTGGAAAGCAGAGTGGAATCCGCAAAGATATGTTTGTGGAAAGACATAAATCGGAAGTTAAGTACCTAGCACAGAACAGAATAAAATTTAGGGGATATGTGGAACCCATATGTTCACAACGGGAATGAAGAAAAGATTCAAAAAAAAAAAAAAATAAATAAATGTAATTAAATCGGTTTGTCTTATATTTGAATACGCAAAACTTATTCCAGAAAAACCGAATGATGCTGTAGTGAATAAATCTTTACATAAAACCAAGTCAAAATAAATTTTGAATTTAATAATAGACCAACAGATGTCGTCATAAAATCTGACATTTCGCTCATAAATTTTATTAATTTTGATAACTAAGTGGGTTTTGATAACTCACAAATCCAAAATTCTTCACTTATTGTGATTTAAATTTAAAATATTCAATAGTTTTTTTTTAATAAATTTAAAATGGGTGGGCAACTACAGATTACAATTTAAGTGAAGTAGTTATGAGAGGAACAAAATAGAAATTTTCCTTAAAAATTATTAATAAATTGCTAGTTAAGATTAAAAAGCCAGAAAAATTTCATAAATTAAATTAAAATATTTTTTGGTGACAATTACTAACATCAATATTCAATTGAACTCGCTTGATATTAAATTCTATACAAAACACTTCATAATTTAATCTTCAATCAATTCTATGTGATAACAATGTGCTCAAAAAACTTGTGCCAATGTTATTTAGTGCTTAATAAACTTTTTACACTATTTATATAAATGGTACTCATCCCAATCACTTAGAATAAAATTTCCCTTAAATAAAATCACAAAATTGAAAAATTCACTACACTTTTTGCTACACAAATCGTTCCTATTCCAAAATTTCAATAATAAAAATAAATAAAAGAAAGCACTTCGAATAACTTCGGTAAAACAAATTTTTAAATATGTGTTACATTCAAATGGAAATATGTCTGTATATATACTTATAGGTAATTTATATATATATATATTGTGACTACCTTCAACATAATCTTAGTGGCAAAAATTTTCCAAAAATCACTTGAAAACAAATTTAAAATGAAAGTAAAATAAAAATAATACTTGAAAACTACCTTTTTTCTTCAAAAAAATTTTTGAAACACAAAAATTATTTAAGGTGTGAGTTTTGAGTATAACAATATAAAATAAAAGTGTAATCCAATTTTAAAAAAAATTTAATTAAAAAGCACTTACGTTATAATAATTTCCATATACACATTTAAAATAATATTAAAAATCTTTATATTTAAAATTTTTATTCACTCAAATTACATACAATACAAAAAAATTATTCAAAAATCATTGCTACATAAAACTGAAGAAAGAGAGGAATTTAACCAAAAAAGTTGTATATTCCGTTTAATACTCAAGAGGATAGAGACTATAGAGAAATTTTAAATGAAAAAATAATTTACAATATTTCACAATTATTGAAGAATGATGAGAATTAAAAAATGTTCTCAATAGCTAGTTGTATTCGGAAAGACCAAGTCTGCAACTTAACATTCTTAAAATAGATATTTTAAAATAAAAGATACTATTATGTTCTCTGAGTAAAGAAAAAGAGAATATTTCAAACAGAGGTATATTAAAACTGAAATTTATGTACAAGGTATTACAAATAAAAACTAGGTAATTAAAGCTAAATTTTATAAAAATTTATATTAACCCCTAAAAATATGCAATTTTTTGTAAATTTTTATTACAACTGAATTAAGCCTTCTCAAAGGTTTCTCAAATCCCAAAATATGGGTCTATTCTTGTAGAAGCTCTTATGAAAAAAAAAAATTTATTTTATAAACTTTTTTATTTAAAGTGAAATCTCTTTAAAAAAAAACAACTGTTATCGATTCGCATTCCTAAAGAACTATGAGAACTATAAGAGCTACAATAATAAATTAAATTGGAATAAATATGCGCATATATAAAATTCTATACTCTTACTAAATTTATTCCATTATATTTTAATTCTCTTTTATATTTCGTCTCATTGAGAAGTAGAACAAATTTCTCTTTCACAATATTTTCATATCAAGTGACAATACTTTTACTTTTAACTAAAAACAAAGCTTGTTATACACTCATCTCATACAATATAATATGTTATTTTTATAGTTCTTTACGCTTTGTATGTATGTACAAATAAGTATATCATGCAAATAATAATATTAAACAAATATCTATAAAAAAAAAACAACCAACTTTCCTTTTTCTTTAAATTAAATATTTATTTTTAATGTACATAACTCCAAAAATATAAGTGACATAACATTTTATGATTTGTTTGAAAAAGTTATACAAAAAATAGGAGCTAAAATGACATGAGTGTTAATTAAATTTAATAAAATGAGCTCGAAAATAGCTTAAAATTGCGTAAAACTTGTTCTAATTTGTTATAAAAACAAAAAGAAACCCAAACTTCTCTTGCCAGATTGTTGAATTTTAATAAAAAAAAACAAATCGGAGTACGTGATAATTTTTAATTATAAAATGAAAAAAATGTATACCAAATATATTAATGAAATGAAGTTTTACAGGAGTATACCCTTAGACTGGAGTATGTGCAGAAGTTTACAGAATAAATAGCAATTATATATATATTATTATATGTAAATATAATTGTGTACAACACGTTTTTATTTACAAAAACTGAATTTGAATTTGAAGTGATTTTCACACAACAACGATCATCATTTAAATAAAACAAAATGGAGTTCTTTTATTTCAAATTCTTTTAGAATTTTCACAAGTATTTTTGTTTATATATAAAAATTTTTTGCAGTATAATTTTTTAATATAACTTTAAATTTTTTCCCGTATATAGTATGAATAGTACACAATATACTTTAATATTTATAATAAAGATTTTGTTTTTTTTCCAATTTAGCTTTTATTTTTAATTTTTCTTATATGAAAATAAATATCACTCATGCGAATAATTATTTAACATTCTTTGTATATAATTATGTTTGATTGTACTAATAATAATAACAAAATATGCATTCAATGTAATTCAATGTATGAAAATGCCATGTACATACAAAGTGTCTCTAAAGATTTTTCAAAATGTGTGGTTAATTAAAAATATTATTGAAGTTTTTAAGAAGTACGTCATCAAAAATTAATTATTTTCTTGTTTGTATAGACATAAATCTCAATTTACTCAATTACAAAGTGAGAAAGTAAAAAAAAATTGGATGAAAACGAGAAAAGGGAAAGTTGACTGTGCAGTCAACTCTGTAATACCCGTATGAATGAGTCATTTTGAGTGATGTGTTTTAATTGCCACATTGTTCTATACGTCATCCTAGTATTTTATTCATTTGTATAAAATTTCAGCACTGTAATATCAATAATTTCCATAATATCAAGTGCAATGACTTGTATGACAGTTATTAGCACAATAATAAAATATTTGGCTAAAACCCATAATAAAATATTTCTTTTAAAAAATTTCAATACTGTAAATAATTTGAAATAAGAATATGCTGGTGGACATAATAATGAGGAAGAATTATAGGAACAACCTACCTGTTGAAGAGAATTTCAATTCATACTCTCAGAGATTGTAAAATACTAGCTCACTCACAAATGGAAAATTGAGGAATATTTGAATGGTATAAATTTTCATTTCATTTGCATTTGAAATACTTGCGGTATAACACTTATATTTTTAAATATGACACTTATGACACAAAACTTATATTTGAAAATATTTTCACTTCATTCAAATATTTTCACTATTTTAATTAAACACTCTGTATTCATAAAGCCATTTTATGTATTTAAGATTTTAAGATATTGAAGAATAAAATGTCTTATGAAAACTCATTAAGATAAAAACTTAAAATTTATATTATTATTTGAATAGAATTAGACGGTTTTAATGGTTTAAAATATTTTTTATCAAAACCACAAAAATTGCTATTATAAACTATAATTAAAATTTATTTTTTTAATTAAAATTAAAAATTATTTTCCATTTAAACATTTTCAACTTTAGGAAAAAAAAATTTTTAATAATAAAGTTTAATATAACACAATTTAGGGAAAAAATTCTATGAAAATTGCTTATATACAAAATTCTTAATGTAGTCTAAGCAGACTAATATAAAATAACCTTGAATATGTCAAGAAATATTATAATTGTAGAACTCATTGAGAAACACTGAAAATACACACACGTATATGTGTATAAATGTTATAAGTGTACAAAAGTAAAAATTTTAATTTTTTCAGGTCCCACTATGATAAAATTACTTTTATAAGTGTAAAAATTGTAATTGTTATGAACAGCTTCAAGAATACTTAAAATAGTTATGCGATTTCATTTGAAATGTTTGATAATAGCCTGAATTCCAAAGAGCACTTTATTCAAGTAAAAATACAATAAACTTAACGTGATATTCAGAAAATTTCATTGTCAAAATCTTAAAATATATCTGTAATTTTGCCCTAACTGCTATGATAAAATTCTCTAAAATAAACTCAACGGAAAATTATGTTAATAGAGAACTTAATTATTTAATGGTCCCGAACAAGATCTTGTTAGAGCTACATTTAAAATTTGCTAAAAAATTAAGAAATTAAAATATTTCATTGATTTATTAAAATCGTATCATGAATTAAATTGATTTACACAAATATATAAATTCATTTCATAAAAATTCTTCTGTGCTGAATAATTTTGTCGAAACTTAATATTCTTCGGCTCCTTCACCTTCACCATCACCAGAATCCATTCCAACTTCTTCATAATCTTTTTCTAATGCAGCCAAATCTTCACGTGCTTCAGAAAATTCACCTTCTTCCATACCTTCACCAACATACCAATGAACGAAAGCACGTTTCGTATACATTAAATCAAATTTATGATCGAGGCGAGCCCATGCTTCTGCTATAGCAGTAGTATTTGCTAACATACAAACAGCCCTTTGAACTTTAGCTAAATCTCCGCCAGGAACAACTGTTGGTGGTTGATAATTAATACCAACTTTAAAACCAGTCGGACACCAATCAACAAATTGAATTGATCTTTTTGTTTTAATTGTACTGATAGCAGCATTAACATCTTTTGGTACAACATCACCTCGATATAACATACAACATGCCATATATTTACCATGTCTTGGATCACATTTAACCATTTGATTTGCTGGTTCAAAACATGCATTTGTTATTTCAGAAACAGTTAATTGTTCATGATAAGCTTTTTCAGCTGATATTACCGGTGCATATGTTACTAATGGAAAATGAATTCTTGGATATGGAACTAAATTTGTTTGAAATTCAGTTAAATCAACATTTAATGCACCATCAAAACGTAATGATGCTGTTATAGAAGAAACAATTTGTCCAATTAATCTATTCAAATTAGTATACGTTGGCCTTTCTATATCTAAATTTCGACGGCAAATATCATAAATTGCTTCATTATCAACCATAAATGCTGCATCAGAATGTTCTAATGTTGTATGTGTTGCTAATACTGAATTATATGGTTCAACAACAGCTGTTGATATTTGTGGAGCTGGATATACTGCAAATTCTAATTTTGACTTTTTACCATAATCCACTGAAAGACGTTCCATTAATAATGATGCAAAACCAGAACCAGTACCACCACCAAATGAATGAAATATTAAAAAACCTTGTAAACCGGTGCATTGATCAGCTAATTTTCGGATACGATCTAATACAAGATCAACAATTTCTTTACCAATTGTATAATGACCGCGTGCATAATTGTTAGCTGCATCTTCTTTACCAGTTATCAATTGTTCTGGATGAAATAATTGACGATATGTTCCAGTACGTACTTCATCGACAACAGTTGGTTCTAAATCAACGAATACAGCTCTCGGAACATGTTTACCAGCACCGGTTTCACTAAAAAATGTATTAAATGAATCATCACCGCCACCGACAGTTTTATCTGATGGCATTTGTCCATCTGGTTGTATACCATGTTCTAAACAATATAATTCCCAGCATGCATTACCAATTTGAACTCCAGCTTGACCAGTATGAATTGAAATACATTCACGCATTTTTGTTTCTAAATTTTTATTTTTTTTTTTTCTTTCTATTGCAAATTTGAAATTTTTATTGATGTAGTTCTTCTTGCTTCAAAATTGAGTTTAATGATTCCTTTACGAGTTAGATTTAATTTAAATTTTTTCAATTGAAATTTTTATAAGATTCTTTTTTTTTTTTGTTCCTTTCGTTTCGATTTCAATTCGACAATTTGAAAATTTTTTGAATTTTCATTCAAAGTAATTTTTTAAAGGCATCTTAGATTTTAAAAAAAAAATTTTTTATTTTTTTTTGTAGAAATTGAATATTACAATCAAATAAGAATTTTGGGGGTTCAGTAAAACCATTCGACATAACAATACAAAAGAAAATGGCAAATCTTTAAAATAGAAATTTTTCAAAAAGGACAAAATAGAATCACTCTATTTTTAATCCTGAAATATTACGGAAGATTAAATTTAATGTATAGTTTAGCATAAAATGTGGATACTAAAGTATACCATTGTGTATTAAAATTAGAATATGTACGTGTATAACAGATTTGATGTGTACACTTTATTTGATTACATTCTGGTGCTCAAATTTTGGTAAAATCTTCATACATACGTGCATTTATATTTGCGATTATAATTCTGAGACCCTATACGTCGTACTACAAACAATAGAAACTTTCATTTTTATTATAAATTCTACATACTTCAAGTATAACAATATATATAATATATTAAAAATATAAGTACAAAGTACAATCCATTTAATATATCTAAAAAAAACTTTGAGAAAAAAAGAAACAAACAAAATGCCCTCTGTTGCCTTTGAATGTGCCCTAGAATACATTATAAAATTAAGAATTAATCTCTTCACTTCCCCTATATATTAAATTCACTACGTATTCAATCGTATATGTTGTAAAACAATCCTCTAAAATCCCATGCTCCAAGGATAACATTTTTGTATAACAAAAAAAAAGCAGAAAGTTGAGTTTTACATTAACATAATGAAATGTTTTTATTTTCTCTTCTTCTTCTCCTTTCTCACTTTTTCTACTTTTTCTAGTTTTCCCCCCCTTTAAGCTAGCACCTTTCAAGTATGAATGGTACTTGAGATTTCTAACAAGAAAAATTAAAAAAAAAAAATATTATTTTCACTTTTTGTATAACAATTTATTTTTTTTTTTTTTGTGATGAAGAAAAATTTCTTTAAAATGCGATAAGACAAAATAGGTCTAAGGAATAAAAAATAAGAAGAAAAAAATTTATAAATGTTAAAACCCTTGAGTTGAATCAAGAAAAACAAAAAATGAAAATTAAGAAATGAAAGAAAATATAAAAATTCTTGATAAAATGATAAAAGGATTTTTTTTTTGGTGTAAAACAACAATAACAAATTCATACATACAAACATTTCCCATCCATATGTATTAAGACATTCAAATTACAAAATAATTTCGTTTTTCGCGATATACAAAAAAGTACTTTCTTTTTTTTTTATTACACTTAAGAATTCCTTTAATTTTAATGACGTCAAATTAAGATTTGAAAATAATTATATGTAAATATGTAAGAGTACATACACAGATTTATATAAAATGTATACATAATATAGAAGGAATACATAGAAGATCCTTAGAATGTTTATTAAAGTAATAATATTAAAATAAAATTTTAAGTAGTTCAGGATGGAAAGGGTAATTTAAATAATTTTGAATATAATTTAAAAAAGTTTAATTGTTTGTAACTTATACATAGTATGTAATCGTATAAAATTGTAAGACTTTATTTAAAATCAAAATAGAAATTTGAATTTCTTGACAAATTTTGTAAATAACGAGAATAGGTAGAGTTGATCGTATTAATTTTGTGATATCCTTAAGAATGAATGATTTTCAGTGTTACATGTTAATTGCCACACTGTTTTACACGAGCTCCTAATTTCCATATGGTTTTATACATGTATAACAGTTACCACATTAACTTATACTATCTCAAAGAAATTTTATTAAAAATAATGGCTACATTACCATATACGTTTATATACAAAATTTCAGTACTGTGATTTAAATAGTTTTCATAATATTACAGCAAATGAATATCAAAGCTGTACGGCAGCTACCACCACAAGTAAAAATATTTCAGCTAATTTTATTAAATATAAGAGCCCTAATAAAATATTTGCTTATGTGAAATTTTAATACTGTAGGTTCTAAAATTTCTGAGATCCAACCAAATAACTTTCGAAGTTGTTAACTGCTTTTTTCAAAAATAATGACCATTTCATCATTGTTGATTTTGCAAAAATTTCGGTATTGTAGCTTTAATAATTTCTAAATTATGACTAAGTTGCTTTTGAAGTTGTATGGGCAGCAACCAGAACCATTCGATTTCGATCTCAGAAATACCTCGATCACAACCAATTTAAATAGAACTCGATCACCTCGATCACAACCAATTTGAATTTAAAAACTCGGAGTTGTTATTTAAGTATTAATTATTTTCTGTTAGTGCAAGGCTTTCCCCCGTATAGTATAAGTATTCTATTTTGTTATTTTTCCTAATTTTCAAATAAAAGTACCCCAAGCCAAAGTTTCATTTCAAAATCACTTGAAAAAAAGCTCTAATTAACAACAAATTTTGCATAATTGAAACCAATTCAATTAATAAAATAAAAAAAAATAAAAATTATTGAATTTACCTATTCTGATTAAAAAGGATTTTTTTAAAGGCCACAATTATATAAACATATCAATAGATCCCTTAAAATCAATTATTAAAACACTTTCATTTTCTGTTATAAAGTCTTTCTTTTACAATTTTTTTTGTATATTCAATTTGTGGAAATTTGGAATTCTCTTTACAATCCCAACAATAAAATAATTAAATTAATTAGAATAATAAAAAATTTAAGTTTTTTTTTCCCTTATTTTATCAATAAAAAATGCTTTTTTGTAGCATACTACACTTGTTTTGTTTTTTTGTTGCTTGGATTTCAAATTTGAATACGTCAGTCTTTTTTTTTCCTCATTTATTATTATTACTGTATTCGTAAACCTTATGTAATGGAATCGGCCTTGATATTGGTAATTTTTGTAATTTTTCCCTCAATATGCCAATTATCCTTTCTAATTTTGATTGAACAACTTTGTTTTTACAATATGTTTCTGTTTCTTTATTTTATTTCAATCTATTTTATTTTCAAGTAGATTTTCAAGAAAGAAAATATTAGAAATTAATTCAGAAAATTTTTTTCTGTTTGTCAGATGATTGCTTATTGGTTTTTCTCAATATTAAATTTAAGAATCTATTCTAATTTGAGAAAAAATTTGCGTATTATTTAAAATGTTCGGGGGTTTTACCATAATTTAGAAAAAAGTCATACCATGAATACGAATTTGATAGTACGAGGAACTATTTCTTATGAACAATTCACCTACCTAAGGTTGAATCCACGTTTGCAGTTCTGACAAAGATCTGTAATGGCAGATGATATCAACTGCATAAATTTTTTTTATGCTTTTATATTCATAACCTCAATTACTAATATTATTGAGAGAGTAGAGAGATATTATTAAGATTACACCAGAGTTTTTGTTGGCAATGCTGTTCTATTGCAGCATTAGTAGTTCTATTGAAGAATTTAGTAATCCTATATTGCAGTGTAGTTTTAAATAATAACATTTCTTACAGTCAGAACTGCAAACATGAATTCAACCCAGTTCAGCTCATAATTTGACATAAATAACCTTAAATGTAATACATTAAGGATAAAAACATTTGAACTAAGAGTAAATATTTCAAAATACAACACAAAAGCTGTTCCATTCTAGCTTTTTTCACAAGATCATCTTGCAAATTGTTCAATTTCATCTTATATTCTTATTATTTTTATTTGAATATAGGCTACTAATTTTGCTGTAAATGAACACTTTAGCTTGAAATATAACTTGTTGCCTATATACTTATGTAAATACAAAAAAAAAAGTATATGAGCATTTGAAAATCTACAATCAATGGTACCTATATGTATACATAAAAGAATGTATTATATTTTTTTCAATTAAATTATAACAAAAAGGTTCAGAGAAAAGAAACATAATACATATTTGTACATTTGTATGTATCTTTTGTTTTTACTTTCTGTTAAATAAGCCTAAGGCTTATTCATTGTTCATTCTTTTGGTATACACACACACATAAAGATAGGAGGAAACTTAAGACAAAAAAAAAAAACAGAAAATAAAACAAATGGAATTAAATCTAATAGACATTTACTTATATAATCAGAAAATAATAACCATAATAATTACATAATGTACATGCATATATGTACATATTATATAAAAAATATATTCACAAAGGATAAAACTTACATAAGAGGAAAATTAAATAATGTCCTTAGGTGTACAGCAGATTTATTTGAAAAAGGAAATATATAACATAAAAAAGAAAATACTTTCATTATTTTAACCCTTTACTGCGTACCATACTAGTCATTCTGCTTACATTCTATATTTATATATGACCGGTTCTTCAAATTATTGAAAACATAAAAATTTCATCATAAGGAAAGCAGAAATCGATTCGACAAATTTTCGGATTTTAAAATTTTCTTAATAAAATCCGTCTCGAGTATGCAAGCAATTACTTTCTAAAAATTATTTAATATTATAGCGTAGCAAGTGCATTTTTTTATTTCTGTATTTCTACATAAAACTACATAGAATGATTTCAATAGGGTGATGAGTTCAAGACAAATGCAAAGACTTAGAGCATGAGTTAAACAAAACTCAAACTCAAAAATTGAACAGAAATCCAACCAGTAACAAAAAAACCACCCATTTAGTATTAACTTTAGCTTCAGTTTAAGCTTTTAATAATAAAAATTTACGATGTTTTACGAGCAAATAAAAAAAAATTGATAAATTTTCAAAAGATGATCAAAACGCCCTCCTATCTGAGAATGGTATAATTTGTTTTCATAGACGAACAAATTCGCGATAAATTAATTAGTGTTTCCA